CCCCAAAACCCCAAAACCCCATATGCTCAAATTTTTAATGAAATACTGATAAAAATAATATTTAAATTCAATCTCAAAAATCAAAAGCATTACTCTCTTAAATCGATTATATAGTTTCAACGTTAAGAACTTCATTTGATTTTTGTTAATTGTTAGACTGAAAATAGTCTATTGCATCATTTTCAGATATATCTATAGACTGTGATGAGATAAGATTTCTATCTTAAAGTCCATCAGTTTGTTATTATTTGGACTTTGATGCTTCAATCTTAAGAATATTTTCAAAAGTATTGTTTTAATTTTCTTTAAGTGAGTCTGAATTTTATTTCTATGCATGGTTAACATTTTATTTTGAAGTGCATTAGTTGGTTTATTGAGATGTATATTATTCAAGAAGTTAATCATATTTCGAACTGAATAAGACATGTTTTGAAAATGCTTCAGGATTGCCATTAATCTATTCTTAATTTTTCTATTCATTAAAATTTGGACTTTATTAAAATTCGCCTAAATCAGCATAATTTAGTACTATGTCAATTTAATTTGAAGATTGACCTTTTTAATGTTTTTTCCTGGCCAAATTAATCTATCCTTTAGTATTTAGTTTATTATATAAGTTAACTTAATTTTTGTCCTATTTGGAATAACTTTCCATGCTAATATAAGAAGCTTCAGATTAAATCTAAGCAGTCTTTCTAAATTTGCTTTTAGATAGCTTTACACCATCTTTTTATCTTTTATAATATTGGGTTTTCTAAACCACTATATCTTTTTGCTTGAATTAATTTACAAGATTCTCCAACTAAGTCATGTTTTTTAAGTCTTTTTCTATCTTAGTTTATTTGCTATTTTCAACATTTTTAATATAAGATGAAAATGTTGATTTGTTTCTTTATCTTTCAAATGATGGCTTTTATTGAAAGGAAGCAAAACTATTAATCTCTATTGATTTAGTTGTATTCATATCATTTGCTTCTTTATATTATTAGCTCATAAAGTCAAAGTCTTATTCTGAATTAATAGATTGCTGCGTTTATTGAAGTTAAGAATCATGATGAGCAGGTTCTATAATAAATTATTTTTTAATATTCTTACTATCTGAACCTAAAGCTTACTTTTAACTCCCAAAGTATGATTTTTGTTAATCTTCATCTATTGCTTGGGAACCTTGATTTTAATTATTTGATTAGCTTTAAAATAATAATTTACGTTGAAATCTACCTCTATTCTAATCTTTATTGCTTTTTTTACCAAAATATTTCAAAATATTTTCTTCATTCAAGAATAACCCTAGTTTTTAGATTATTTTGTCATTAAGTTATATTTTATTTTTCACGAAGAAGTTCTAGTATTTATCGATACATTTTTCAAGCTCTTCGCTATATCTTAGATTCTGCAAATAATATGAATATTTTATTTTTTCTTGCTCTAATTTTTCATTGTTATTACAAAGGCATAAGATTAAGTATAGTCTCTAATTTTAAAATCTAAATCTTGACTTTAATTCTTTATACATCTTAGATATCCACAATACAAAGAATAATAGGTTAGCTATGACAACAAGAAAGAAAAATAGTTTCTAGATTGCGTCTGGTAGTAAAATGGCACCATTAGCATAGTCTGCATTTTTTTCTATCCAACTTTTTGATTTATCTAGTATAAAGAAAATACCACAATATATTGTAGCCATTGAGGTTATTAAAGATACTGTTTCCAATTCATTTAATGCTTTTGTATTGAATGGCTTGAACTAATAGTTTATGGCAAGAAACCAGACAAGTATCATAAGCATTATAAGGGCCTAGGCAACTACACCAAAATTGGACTCAACAAATACTGCGACAAAAGTTATCAGTATTTTTCTATACATTATTATGATTTCCCAGTAATAAAATTGATATTTGTAACCACGGTACAAGAATCCATATTTTTCTCTAACAGCCAGATTTTTTAAACGATTCTAGTATTTCATTAAAATTGAAAGAGCAAGAAAAGGTATACCCATGCCCCATACTATAATGCTAGGTAGTGCCACTAAATAGCTATAAATTCTATGAGTATTATCCCAACATATTATTTCTAAATCATCATAAACTCTCATTTAACTATCAACATCTACGCATTTAAAGTTGAAAAATGAATACTGAACAATTGAAGGATGGGCTAAGAATAATAAAATAACAAGCGTAGATGTAAACTTTCCATCAACTAAACAGCCCTTTTTCTTGATTGAATTATAGACCAGCCAAAATTAAAAGCAGATATAAGATAGCAAGAATGGTAATAATGCAATAATCAATAGTTTAGTATAAAAGATTCTTAGCTAAGAGCTATCATTTTTATCAATCTAAAGGAAGCAATCTATACTAAAAATTTAATTCTGAGCAGTGGCAATATCTTTTGTAGAACTGAAAAAATTTAGTATTTGCTCGGACCATTAGAATGGCAAAGATGCAGTCACAGACAAGAGTTGGAGATGATTTAGTAGGATTTTAAGGTATATACTTGTATTTAGATAAGGATCTTTTGAAGTGTTTAATGTTGATCGTATTATCAAGATCACAAAGATAATTACCCCCAGTGAAATTGCAAACAATCTTATAAAATTTAAAGCTGGATTAGGGCATTGAGAACAGAAATATTTATTATCTCTTGAATAGCCCTTAGCACAATCTGCACATAAAATACCTTAATGACCAACCAAGCATTCACCAATTGGATTTAAGTTCGGAGAAACCATTCCGAGGCATGCAGGTAGGTAAAGGCATTTTTCGAATTTTTGAGATATGTTGCTTCCTCTCCAAAATCCAGGGAGCGGTCCAATAGTTGTACCTCCTGTGCAAATAGCTCTATCGATTGGACAACTAATACAATCACCAGGTGCTTACATTTAAACTAAAGAGTAACTCTCTGTGCATAATTAGCATTTTCCCAGTTGTGTAAATTATTCCCCCAATATGCATTCTCTTAGCTATAAATTAAGTTAGAAGTTCAATTCAGAGCTGTTCTTCTATTCCAATAACTATTTGTTTGAAAGCTTGGTCAAATCAATTCCATCCGTTGAAAAAATAACTTTGTAACTACTTCCAGGATTTCCTGTGATATAAATTTCTCTTAATACAGCAATACCACTGTTAACAGTAAAATCACTTGTGCCCTCAACTAAAGGCGGATACTTTGCAGCATCAGAATCTAGATTGGTAGTATTTACCTATACTCTTACTGAGCTACTAAAATCTGAACCTACAATCTATCCGTATTTGTCTATTAAGCTCATATAAATGATAGGCAGAGGTCCCCCACTTCTTTAATTTTCTACAACTTTTATCCCTTAATTCTTTGGCACTTCATCTACTGAAATCTAAAGATCTCTTTAATAATTTTCTGATCCTATTGATCCACCAACTTTTTCCATTTGATTTAAGTATGTTTGTTAAGATATCGATATTAAATTCTATGCAAAACAAGCTATATCATCTCCATACTGATTTGCATAATTTTCTATGAACCAAAAGTTATTTTAATTGAATTAGGGCTCTAATATGTCCCAATAAATTCCTCCTCCTTAAATTGATGCTTTATTTTGTTTAAATACATTTATTCCTTCAAATTTTAGGAAGCAATCTAGTTAGTAATAATTGCAAGTATAGTAAATTGCTCCTCCTTAACCATAATTCAAAACTTGATTTGTCAAATCTGTTATTTAAATTGCTTGATTTTAAATGAATTAGCTATTTAAGATGATCATTGATTCTGGATTTGAAATGTATATAGCTCCTCCAATTTCAGCTGTACAATTTTAGAAGGTTGAGTTATTTATCCTATACTTTTAATAATTAGTACTTTTCGTTAGATCAGAATCGATAATGAATATTGCACCACCTTCACTCGATCTTATGTTGATAAATCTAGAATTTTTAATATCAAGTCCGGTGCAATATTAGCAGTTTATCGCACCTCCATTCTTAGAATCCTTATTTGAATAAATATCCCTTATAACCAATTAATTAGATTATAATTTGGCTTATTCAATATAAATAGAATTCTTAGCATTAATATTGTTTATATCTACTTGGTTTAATGTTATCATATTCATCGAGTTTGTTATATAAATATCATCTCCTTGATCAAGAGCATAATTATCTTTAAAATTACTAAAATTCCCGATCCATATACTTTGAAAGCCAGAGGTATAAATTGCTCCACCTTTTGTTTTAGCTTTATTATTTAAAAAATTGGACTCTTAAATTTCCAATTAGCTATTATCTGAAATAAAAATAGCCCCACCCATATTTGCAAATCCATTAACAAATCTGCTATTTTTAACAGTCATAATTGTTTAAGAAACTAAAAATATAAATGAGCCTGTTGTCCTCTCATCTTTTAGTTAGATTTTCCAGCTATCAGAGTAATCATTTTAAAAAAAGCATCTTATCAAAGTTATATTGAGAGATCCACAAAGAAGTCCTTTAGTTCTCGACATTGCTCCATTGTTTTTGAAAGTAGAATCTTGAATTAAAACATTTGCATACATCATAGATATTAATGTCCTTTGTGAAAAATTGTTTTCAAAGTTTGAATTTCTTATTATAATAGGTTAGTCTATTTCAGTTTTGGTCTGGATTTCCATTACCGAGTTGTCAGCTGCATAATTAAGGGTAAATTCTGAATCTTAAATATAAAGCAAAGACTAACTTTAAAGATATATAGCCCCAGAAGACGTTAATGCAAAATTTTTGGAAAACTCGCAGGATTTTATAGACAAATTTGAATTTTACACAATATGAAGAACGCCACCTAATTTAGCTTCATTACTGTAAAATTTAGAGTTAGAAATTTCAACTTAAGATTCTTAGCTTTAAATAACTCCTCCAATTAAAGCAGAATTATATTGATACTTGGACTTATAATCCGTAAATTTTGTTTTCTGCAGCCTAAATATGCCACCTTAGGAAGTTGTACCACAATATTAGTAAATATTATTTTTAGATATTACAAGATCAGCATTAGATATTGAAAATTGAGAGTCAGTTTCAAGGATAAAATCATTATTTATCAGTTAGTAGGTTTTATTTGTTAGAAGTTCATTTTTACTGCATTGGAAAATAGAGTTTTGAATGTTAAAAGTAATCGATCCTAATGAACTATATATGAATGCTCCTTCAGGAGATTTAAAATCGTAGAATTTAGAATTTAAGATTTGAACTTTAGATCCTTTTAAAATATTTATGAAACCGCCTCTAATAGAGGATTTAGAATCTTAAATTTCAATTCCAGAAATGTAGAGTTCCATCAAAGGATTTGACGAATAAAGAAATCCTCCATTTTAAGCTGAATTACCTGTTATCATTTTAGAGTTTTTAATTTCTACGATAGATTTTACTTAGGTATCTGGTTCATTGAATCTCATATATATAAATCCTCCATCACCTTTAGCGTAATTATCTAATATATTAACTTAATCTAATTTTATCTTGACTGTTTTATCTGCAAATATTCCTGCTCCTTAATTTGCTTGATTATTCAAGAATGTCGTATTTTTTAAATCTAACTCGCATTCACTGCACATTATTGATCCTCCTCTTGATGCTTTATTTTAAAGAAAAATAGATGAATCATCTTAAAATTTCGCTTAAATTAAGTTGAAAAATGATCCTGCCTCAGGAATACTACAATGTCTAAAGATGGATCTTTAAGAAAATATTCCAATTTCAATAGAATTCTTAAGATATATAACTCCAATTCCTTAATAGTCTGAAATTTCAGATTAAGCCATATCAGACTAACATTCGATGATAGTATCAATAATTTTAAAGTAAATGTTGGGTGAAGTTGAATATATTAAATATCCTTCTTCAAATGATTTTATATCAGATAGAAATGAGCTTTAAAACTCAATTGTTGAAACTTTATTCTCATCTTATGTAGCAAAGGCCAGTCCACCACGACTTACACAGAAAAATGAAGAAAATGTGCAGTTAGTGAATTTTACAGAATCAATATGACGATTAAGTTAAAGAATTGTCCCCGAAGAATAAACAAAGAAACCATGGAATGTGATATTATGGAGATCAAGTGTATTATAAGTACCAAATGAATCCTAAGTTCTTTCAAATATTCCTCTATAACGATATTCACCATAAAAACCAGAAAATGTAACATTTTTCATGAATAAAATTGTTTTTTCAAAATTAAACAAACTGGCTTCTATTCTATAGTCATTATAAATGATATTCTGTTGGAATACTTTCGCATTGGAAGTCAAATACTAGCCAATCCATGGAAAATCCATTATTTCATAATAAGAATTAGTTTCTAAAAACAGAATTGGCTACACACCATCAATCCCAAACACTCTTATTAGTTATCTTTATTTATCATCAAACCTACCTCTACGGATATACAAATTATTGATGAAAGCTTATCTTCCTCTAATTGTTATTAGTGAGTAAGGATTAAATTGATCTGTAGAATATTAGAAATAATAAAAATTCCATATCTCTAATTCCCTTCTTAAACCAATAGAAATTACTAGAGGGTCATTCTAAATCACTGTTTAGCTAATATATGCTGATTCCTTAAGATTATCAATGCTTACAAAATTGTCACCCACTTACCCTCTTATTTCTTCTAAATATGAGTTATGAAATTCTACCATTCTAGCAGATTGAATGACAATTAAACCAGTATATGCTGTATCAACGTTATACATTATGAGTCCTTTAGATATAAAAATACCATTGGGATCAGAGTAAAATAAACCACCATAATTTGCAGCAATAGAATTATTGATAGAAACATTGCAAATGATGAATTAGTCAGACTTTGTTGACTCTAAATCATCTAAGTGCTAGTAATAGATTGCTCCAATGATTCCTCTGGACTTTATAAATGTCACATTTGTCATAGTTAAATCTCCTTGAACTTATTCGAAATGTAATCCAGCAGCCCCAGTAAGTCCAATATTTTCCTCGAAAAAGATGTTATTCATCTCAACTATATATGTCTGATTAAAGTACATAACTCCTCCTATCTAGGATAAACTATTTAAGTAACTTGATCCATCGTCTTTAAATTTAGTGTGCTCTAAGAAAGCAACTGACCCATAATATTTAAAGTAATGTTTGAAGAACTAGTTATTCTTAAAGGATACATACTCAGCTTATCTTATGTATAGAGCACCATATATATCATTTGAAAAATCTACCGGTTCATACGTATCCCGAGGATCTTCTTGTATGATAACAGAGTTCTAGCTAAAACTACTGCTTTCTATGTCAATAGTTATATTTCTTGCCACAGACTAAATGAAGGCTCCATTATGGCCTTAATATCTTTCAAAATTTGAGTTAGATATTTTTAGGGATTTTGCGTTTTCTAAATACATAAATCCACCACTTTATAATGCACTAGAACTATACTGATAAATACTATCAATAGAGATTTCTAAACTTTGCTGGTCTATGTAAAAAGCACCACCCATAATTTTAGAATGCACTTCTCTTATTTTGTTTTTACCTGTAAATATAAGTTTACAATTACTAAATTCTTTTTCAATGATTTCTTTCATAATAATGGAGTCATCATTTTTGAGGATTCATTCATTTTTAGGCAGCATAACTTGATTTTAAGGATACTATTAGATGTAAATTAATCCACCTTTATCATAAGAGTATAGATTTTCCATTTCAGTATCTAAAAATGATGCAGAAGAAGTCCCATTTAAGTTTATAGCACCACCTCTCAAAGCAAATAAAAAGTTGAAAATGGTTTGTTAAAACTGTAAACTACAATCATCACAGTATATAACCCCACCATCTAGTGCTTAATTCATTTAGAATTTAGTGTAATAATCCTTAACAGTAGTATTAATAAATGTAAAAACTCCCCCTTGCTTTCTATTATAGCAGTTTCTGAAATCTCCCTCACTCATTGAAACATTAGTCACATTTTTTATATAAATTGGTGATGAGTAATTTTTATCAAAAGCTTAATATATTTAGTCTAATGTACTTAACAATAGAAATGTTTAATCCAGATAAATACTATCATATGCTGATATTTAACAGCTAAGTTGTAGTTGATTAATATTTATATTTTACCCATCTTGAGCATTCAAAAACTATTAAGAGGATAATTAATCTATAGTAACATCATTTAATGTGAGAATCATAAATTTTTCAAGTTAAATTATTGGATTTATAACTAGATCTTCAACTTGGTTTAATTATATGTAAATTTAGTCAAAGAAATAGATATTTTTCAAAAGTATTTTTGTATATAAAGATTAGCAGTTTATTAATTGACCCTAAACATCAGCAGAAAGTTAATTAACCTTAATGTTACTAATCTCTAAATTCTACAATCCATATATTTGAATGAAAGAAAGCTTCTGTTCTGAGTGATAAGAAATATTAGAATTTTAAATAAATATTTATGACTATGTATTATTAGATTCTATTAATCCTCCATTTATTTCATCTCTAAAAGCAAGCTTAATATCGAAATCAATTTAATCCATTTCTACTTTACTAGGATACTCACCTAAAATACTCAACAGTTTACCAGAAGAAATTTAATCTGTAATCGTAAATTTTATATCTTTAATAGTCACCAAGCATGAATCATAAACAATCATAAAAATAGAATATGGATATCTTGAAATCGGAATATTTACATTTTCTAATTTAATTTTTGAAGAAAGACAATAAATCATTACAGGCTATAAGTTTAGACTCTCTTATTTTTGAAATTACCCAACAAACTCTGTATTAATAATATCAATCATTACATCTTAATCACTGTAAATAAAAGCCTCAGAAGCTAATAAATTCTAGATATTCAAGATATTATTTGTTATAGTTATCTATTAATCTAGAATATTTTTGCTGAATTTCATGAAATATCTTCTATCCAGCTAATCGTAAAATGTGATGCTATCAATCTGAAGCATTTTAATTGCCCAATTCATGTCATAATCTTAATTATTCAAGCTTATTTGATTAAAGCTAATGTTGATATTCATCATATTAACTAAAATCTGAGGATCTAAATATTACGCTGTTTAAATAAAGGATCCATTTTAAGATTGAATATTGCTGGCATTACAGTTTGCTATTTACAGATTAAGGAATGCCAAATAGGAACTTAAATAGAGCATACTACCATCTCCAAGGACAAATATATTTGAAAATGAGTTTGAGTTGAAACTGATAGTCTAGTAGCCTTCAATGAATCTAAAAACTCCTTAATTTTCTGAATATATCTAATTAAATAATGTGTTTGATACTTCAATTTAAATGGAATTTTTCAGTTTAATATCCATTAGTCCACTGATTAATGCCATATAGGTAAAGTTGGATCCTTGAATTAAGATACTATGACAATAATCTTGACACTTAATTATTTCTGGTTCACCAGGATCATCTAAATATGCATGTTGGAAATTAGATAGCTGTAGTTTCTATACTTCTTTTGTTAAAACATTAGTTTGGTCTTTATAAATAGTCTAAGCAGCATAATTATCTAATTATTCTTAATAGTTATTTGATCCTATTAATGTCCCACAAGTATTCATGTTATTAAATTAGACATTGAAGAATTCTAGCTGACCACCTTGATGATTAAGCTCAATGAAGTATTTGAAGTTAAATAAAAAGTTGTTGAACTCAACGTTCTTAAGAAATTAAAATGAATATTTCTTACTTCTAATTTTAGTAAAGGAGGAGATTTGAGCAATGATTAACCACTTGTA